GGCCCTCCAACCCAGCCCGGGGCTCGGGGCTCGGCCGCCCAGCAAGGACCGCGTGGGGCTCCGGGAACGCCTCGCGCCACCCCGCCCCGTGGCGGTGACAGGGTCCCGGGATCCCCGCGGCCCCCAGCCTCCGCGCTTCCTCCTCACTCTCCGCCGCCCGTTTTGGCCCGCGCCTTCCAGGGGACGAGGAGCTTTTTTGAGGGGTGTCCTTTCCCCTCGCCCCAACAGCCCTCCTTTTACGGTTCATTTTTTGCAGTTTGACGCCTGACCCTCCTCCCCACTCCTCCATCCTCAAAACTGAAGAGACAGACTCGTCGCCAGAGCTCCCCAGGCCCGCCCTGTCCCGCACCCAGCTCCCCTCCTGGCCCCTGGCCTGGTGGCTGGGGTTGGGGGTGGCTGCCCCTCGCCCTCACCCGCCCACAGACTCTTTTGATACTGAAGGGAGGTTTGCGTCAATGACTACCTGCTCTGTAATTACTTTGAAAAAAAAAAAAAAAAACACGGAAAAAGTTAAAAAAATTTTTTTTTGGTCATGAAAGCACAGAGAGGAGAAAGGGATGGGGTGGGGCAGGCCGTCCAGAGCTGGCTCTGGGGAGGCCCCAGCAGGGCCAGGTCCCCCATGCACACCCGGCATTGGTCACAGCCCTGGAGGTCTGTCCAGCCGTGCCCTGCGCCCTGTCCACACCACAGCAGAAGGGCTATGGCTTTCAGGTCCCCCGCGGGTGAGGGCACAGCAGCTGTGTCCTGGGCCCATCTGTGGCAGGGCCTGCTCCCGAGGGACCCCTCCTGCCTCTCCAGGCCAGGGCCCTGGGCTGCTTTGGCTGGTGTTGGCCTCACCGGCTTCACAGGGCCCTCTGTCAGTGCAGCAGGGGCTCAGTGTACCTGCCTCATGGCAAACACGAAGGGCCCCTTCTGAGCAAGAGGGTCAGTCACCATGCCACTTCTGGGTGACAATTCACCATAACGGTCCAGCCCAGAGAGTCTGTCCCCTGCAGCCCCCTCGAAGCTGCCCAAGAGGGAAGCCGATAGAATGCATCTTGTGCCTGCAGAGGCAGGAGGCAGGGCTGCCCGTGTGGCCCTCAAGGGCAGGGCGGCAGCAGGGACAGCCCTAGGGGGTCAGCAGCCAGTCAGAGGGGGCAGGTGCAGGCCGGGCTTCTGCTGGGCAGGAGCGGCCCCAGGTACAGCCCCGAGGCCCCAGCTGCCACCAGCCTGCTGACCTGGAGGCCGCGGTTGCTGGGCAGATTGCGGCCTGCCCAGCCCACTCTGCCACCGCAGCTCTGGGCCCATGGGCACCAAGGCCGGTGGAGGTGCCAGTAGACTGGGGGAGGGCGTGACTGCAGCCCCCTCTGCAGGACTGTCCGAGCCCCTGACCCCGTGTCTGAGCATGCTCTTCTCGCTCCTGTGACTTTGGACCCTGCGCCCCCCCCCCATGCTCTCTTTCTTTCTGGTCCTCTGTCAGTGCTGATCCTGGTTGCCATAGTGACACTGCAGGGGCACCAGGTGGGGGGGCAAGGAGCCCACTCTCCGCAGCCTCCGCCATTGCCGCCATTGCCGACGCCAGGCACCCGCGAGGCGCAGTGGCTGGGGCTCCCGTGGGGTGCCCGGGGGCTCCCCAGCCTCCCAGGCTTCTGGGCCCTGTAAGGTGGGGAGACGGGGACAGGGATGGTGTGGAGCTAGGGTACGACAGGAGTGGAGCTGGTGGCATCGCGGCTGAGGGGCACATGAGATGCAGAGTCAAGGTGAACTGAAGGATGATGGACTAGGGAGCAGAAGGACGTGGGGGGGGACCCACTGTGGGGCCCAGGCCAGGGCCCAGCTGGGTGGGCACTCTCCCAGGGGAGCTGGCATGACCCCCAGGGCCCCCTCAGACCTTGGCCACCTGAGGATGGCAGTAGGGTGGGGAGCGGAGAGATGGGGGCCGGAGCAGAAGAGAGCCTGGTCCTGTTGTCACCGGGTCCTGTTGTCACCGGTTCCTCTACCCCCCAAGCAGGATGCAGTTTCCATGACAACCCGGCCAGCCAGAAGGGGGCGGGGGACTGCAGAGGGAATTTTCCACAGCAGGAAGGGAGGAGGGTGTGCTGCAGGGGGAGCAGCCCCAGCGAAAGAGGGGTTGCAAAGTCCCTGGAACCCCAAGTCGCTGTGCCACTGCCCCGTCCGAGGAAAGTGCAGGGAACACAAGAAGGCCCCCTCCCAGCAAACCCACTGCCCCCCCCCTCCTCTACCTCCTCCCTCCTCTGGCCACTGTGGGAAGGGGGACGGTTCTGGGCGGTTCAAGGGTCAAATGTCCAAAGATCAGTGGCCACCCAGCCCTCGGGACACAGCAGGAGCGGGATCCCTCACAGCCACCAGCTTCGAGCATGGCCCTCGACAGGGTCCCACGCAGAGTGGGGGTGGTTGGCTACGGCCGCCTCGGTGAGTCCCCGGATGTGTTGGGGCTCCTCCCCCTTGGCCCTTCCTGAGCCCACAAGCCCCTCATCTGTGCCCCACTGTGTCTGCTCCTGGCTATCTCCCCAATTTTAGCCCCCTCTCTCTGGGTCTCTGTTCTGCCCTCTCTGGGTTTCTGTCTCTCTCTGGGTCTCTGTCCCTCTCTCTGGGTCTCTATCCCTCTCTCTCTGGATCTCTGTCCCCCTCTGGGTCTCTGTCCCTCTCTCTGGGTCTCTGTCCTCTCTCTCTGGGTCTCCGTCCCCCTCTGGGTCTCTATCCCTCTCTCTCTGGGTCTCTGTCCCCCTCTGGGTCTCTGTCCCCCTCTCTCGGGGTCTCTGTCCCTCTCTCGGGGTTTCTGTCCCCCTCTCTCTGGGTCTCTGTCCCCCTCTCTCTGGGTCTCTGTCACCCCCTCTCTCTGGATCTCTGTCCCCTCTCTCTCTGGGTCTTTGTCCCTCTCTCTGGGTCTCTGTCCCCCTCTCTCTGTGTCTCTGTCCCTCTCTCTGGATCTCTGTCCTCCTCTCTCTGGGTCTCTGTCCCCCTCTCTCTGGGTCTCTGTCCCCCTCTCTCTGGGTCTCTGTCCCCCTCTCTCTGGGTCTCTGTCCCCCTCTCTCTGGGTCTCTGTCCCCCTCTCTCTGGGTCTCTGTCCCCCTCTCTCTGGGTCTCTGTCCCCCTCTCTCTGGGTCTCTGTCCCGTCTCTGTCTCTCTCTCTGTGTCTCTGCCCCTCTCTGGGTCTCTATCCCTCTCTCTCTGGGTCTCTGTCTCCCTCTGGGTCTCTGTCCCCTTCTCTCTGGGTCTCTGTCCCCCTCTCTCTGGGTCTCTGTCCCTCTCTCTGGGTCTCTGTCCCTCTCTCTGGGTCTCTGTCCTCCTCTCTGGGTCTCTGTCCTCCTCTCTGGGTCTCTGTCCCTCTCCCTGGGTCTCTGTCCTCCTCTCTGGGTCTCTGTCCTCCTCTCTGGGTCTCTGTCCCTCTCTCTGGGTCTCTGTCCTCCTCTCTGGGTCTCTGTCCTCCTCTCTGGGTCTCTGTCCCTCTCCCTGGGTCTCTGTCCTCCTCTCTGGGTCTCTGTCCTCCTCTCTGGGTCTCTGTCCCTCTCTCTGGGTCTCTGTCCCTCTCTCTGGGTCTCTGTCCCTCTCTGGGTCTCTATCCCTCTCTGGGTCTCTGTCCCTCTCTGGGTCTCTATCCCTCTCTCTCTGGGTCTCTGTCCCCCTCTCTCTGGGTCTCTGTCCCCCTCTCTCTGGGTCTCTGTCCCCCTCTCTCTGGGTCTCTGTCCCTCTCTCTGGGTCTCTGTCCCTCTCTCTGGGTCTCTGTCCCTCTCTGGGTCTCTATCCCTCTCTCTCTGGGTCTCTGTCTCCCTCTGGGTCTCTGTCCCCTTCTCTCTGGGTCTCTGTCCCCCTCTCTCTGGGTCTCTGTCCCTCTCTCTGGGTCTCTGTCCCTCTCTCTGGGTCTCTGTCCCTCTCTCTGGGTCTCTGTCCCTCTCTCTGGGTCTCTGTCCCTCTCTGGGTCTCTATCCCTCTCTCTCTGGGTCTCTGTCTCCCTCTGGGTCTCTGTCCCCTTCTCTCTGGGTCTCTGTCCCCCTCTCTCTGGGTCTCTGTCCCTCTCTCTGGGTCTCTGTCCCTCTCTCTGGGTCTCTGTCCCTCTCTCTGGGTCTCTGTCCCTCTCTCTGGGTCTCTGTCCCTCTCTGGGTCTCTATCCCTCTCTCTCTGGGTCTCTGTCTCCCTCTGGGTCTCTGTCCCCTTCTCTCTGGGTCTCTGTCCCCCTCTCTCTGGGTCTCTGTCCCTCTCTCTGGGTCTCTGTCCCTCTCTCTGGGTCTCTGTCCCTCTCTCTGGGTCTCTGTCCCTCTCTCTGGGTCTCTGTCCCTCTCTGGGTCTCTATCCCTCTCTCTCTGGGTCTCTGTCTCCCTCTGGGTCTCTGTCCCCTTCTCTCTGGGTCTCTGTCCCCCTCTCTCTGGGTCTCTGTCCCTCTCTCTGGGTCTCTGTCCCTCTCTCTGGGTCTCTGTCCCTCTCTCTGGGTCTCTGTCCCTCTCTCTGGGTCTCTGTCCCTCTCTGGGTCTCTATCCCTCTCTCTCTGGGTCTCTGTCTCCCTCTGGGTCTCTGTCCCCTTCTCTCTGGGTCTCTGTCCCCCTCTCTCTGGGTCTCTGTCCCTCTCTCTGGGTCTCTGTCCCTCTCTCTGGGTCTCTGTCCCTCTCTCTGGGTCTCTGTCCCTCTCTCTGGGTCTCTGTCCCTCTCTGGGTCTCTATCCCTCTCTCTCTGGGTCTCTGTCTCCCTCTGGGTCTCTGTCCCCTTCTCTCTGGGTCTCTGTCCCCCTCTCTCTGGGTCTCTGTCCCTCTCTCTGGGTCTCTGTCCCTCTCTCTGGGTCTCTGTCCCTCTCTCTGGGTCTCTGTCCCTCTCTCTGGGTCTCTGTCCCTCTCTGGGTCTCTATCCCTCTCTCTCTGGGTCTCTGTCTCCCTCTGGGTCTCTGTCCCCTTCTCTCTGGGTCTCTGTCCCCCTCTCTCTGGGTCTCTGTCCCTCTCTCTGGGTCTCTGTCCCTCTCTCTGGGTCTCTGTCCCTCTCTCTGGGTCTCTGTCCCTCTCTCTGGGTCTCTGTCCCTCTCTGGGTCTCTATCCCTCTCTCTCTGGGTCTCTGTCTCCCTCTGGGTCTCTGTCCCCTTCTCTCTGGGTCTCTGTCCCCCTCTCTCTGGGTCTCTGTCCCTCTCTCTGGGTCTCTGTCCCTCTCTCTGGGTCTCTGTCCCTCTCTCTGGGTCTCTGTCCCTCTCTCTGGGTCTCTGTCCCTCTCTGGGTCTCTATCCCTCTCTCTCTGGGTCTCTGTCTCCCTCTGGGTCTCTGTCCCCTTCTCTCTGGGTCTCTGTCCCCCTCTCTCTGGGTCTCTGTCCCTCTCTCTGGGTCTCTGTCCCTCTCTCTGGGTCTCTGTCCCTCTCTCTGGGTCTCTGTCCCTCTCTCTGGGTCTCTGTCCCTCTCTGGGTCTCTATCCCTCTCTCTCTGGGTCTCTGTCTCCCTCTGGGTCTCTGTCCCCTTCTCTCTGGGTCTCTGTCCCCCTCTCTCTGGGTCTCTGTCCCTCTCTCTGGGTCTCTGTCCCTCTCTCTGGGTCTCTGTCCCTCTCTCTGGGTCTCTGTCCCTCTCTCTGGGTCTCTGTCCCTCTCTGGGTCTCTATCCCTCTCTCTCTGGGTCTCTGTCTCCCTCTGGGTCTCTGTCCCCTTCTCTCTGGGTCTCTGTCCCCCTCTCTCTGGGTCTCTGTCCCTCTCTCTGGGTCTCTGTCCCTCTCTCTGGGTCTCTGTCCCTCTCTCTGGGTCTCTGTCCCTCTCTCTGGGTCTCTGTCCCTCTCTGGGTCTCTATCCCTCTCTGGGTCTCTGTCCCTCTCTGGGTCTCTATCCCTCTCTCTCTGGGTCTCTGTCCCCCTCTCTCTGGGTCTCTGTCCCTCTCTCTGGGTCTCTGTCCCTCTCTGGGTCTCTATCCCCTTCTCTCTGGGTCTCTGTCCCCCTCTCTCTGGGTCTCTGTCCCTCTCTCTGGGTCTCTGTCCCTCTCTGGGTCTCTCTCTCTCTCTGGGTCTCTGTCCCTCTCTGGGTCTCTATCCCTCTCTCTCTGGGTCTCTGTCCCCCTCTCTCTGGGTCTCTGTCCCCCTCTCTCTGGGTCTCTGTTCTCTCTCTCTGGGTTTCCATCCCCCTCTGGGTCTCTGTCCTACAGTCTCTCCATCCCCTTTCCTCTCCCCAGGACAGGCTCTCGTCTCCCATCTGCTGACTCAGGGACCAGAGCTGGGCCTCGAACTGGCTTTTGTCTGGAACCGTGACCCAGGACGAATGGCAAAGAGTGTGCCCCCTTCCCTGCAGCTTCAAGACCTTGCTGCCCTTGGGGAAAGGTCAGTGGCCTTGCCACGGGGAGTAGGGCTCCCTGAGCTCCCACTCTGGCTTCCCTTAGCTGCTGTGTGAGCTCAGGCGAGTCCCTTACCCTCTCTGGGCCTTGGTTCGCCCAGTGTGAAACGGGCCGAGCCCTGTGTAACTGCCCCTCCAAGGCCAGGGCGAAGGGACAGTCCTCTGAGGGGACCCCGGGGAGCAGAGGCCCAATATCTCTCCAAGGCCCTTCCCCATTTCTCCCCTCTCCCAGGCACCCTGATCTTGTGGTGGAAGTGGCCCATCCCAAAATAATCCACGAATCTGGGGTGCAAATCCTGCGCTATGCCAGTCTCCTGGTGAGCCCCACCCCACCCGCAACCCAGGCCCATCTTCTGTCTCCGCCCCATTCCACGCCAACCCTCCGCACCTTTCCTGCTCCAGGTGGGGTCTCCCTCAGCCCTGGCTGACCAGGCCACAGAGCAGCAGCTCCTGGAGGCCTCGCACCGCTGGGGCCATGCTGTGTTTGTGGCCCGAGGGGCCCTGTGGGGGACTGAGGACATCGCCAGACTGGATGCCGCTGGGGGTCTCCAGGTGAGGGGCCACTGGGCTCCCCCAGAACTAGAGGGGGCCTGCAAATCCCCTGGTTCCCCTCACCCCTGTTCTTACTTCCAGAGCCTTCGTGTTACCATGGCCACACACCCCGATGGCTTTCGGCTAGAGGGACCCCTAGCTGCGACCCAGGGCACGGGGCCCCGAACTGTGCTCTATGAGGGCCCTGTCCGTGGGCTCTGCCCAGTTGCCCCCCGAAACTCCAACACCATGGCGGCTGCTGCCCTGGCTGCCCCCAGCCTGGGCTTTGACCGTGTGATCGGGGTGCTTGTGGCCGATCTCAGGTGAGCAGCTGAGCAGGGACTGGGCTGGGTCCGGGTCAACTAGACTGACAGCCCCGCCTCCCCAGCCTCACAGACATGCACGTGGTGGACGTGGAGCTGAGCGGACCCAGAGGCCCCACGGGCCGAAGCTTTGCTGTGCACACCCACCGAGAGAACCCTGCCGAGCCAGGCGCTGTCACTGGCTCCGCCACTGTCACAGCTTTCTGGCGCAGCCTCCTGGGTGCGGACTACTGGCAGTCTCCGGGCCTGGGGTCCAGTGCTCAGCAGAACATAGGGTCCCGAGATCTGTCTGGTCTGCAGTTCTGATTCTGTCCCTGTCATGCTTATTTCTGACTCTCCTTAACCTCTTCGCTCTGTGACTTTGAATCCTTCTGTCTTTGGGTCTTTGTCTATGTCTCTCTCTCTGTCCACGTCTCTCCCTAGGAGTCTGCGCAACTCTGGCATGCCACCGGCTGTGTACGTGTGTCTCTGTCCCTGTCTCTCTCCACACTCACCTTTGTCCCTTCCTCCCATCACTGCCCCCCCTCCAGGTGTCTGCCTCCATCTCGCCCTTGCTCTGTCTCAGCCTCCCCGTCTCTCCCCTGCAGGCTGCTGCCAGCTCCCCTCCAGGCCAGGGATCCACCTCTGCTGAGAAGCCGCCTTCCAGAGAGGACTGCCATCTGCTTTAGTCCCCTCCACCACTGTGGCACCACTGGGCTCACTTTCTCCCGTCTCAGTAAAGATTACAGGCTCCTCCCTAGCAAGGCCCGCGTCTTTGGTCCTTTGCTCCCCTCTGACGTCACCCCGCTTCTGCACACAGTGTATGACGCCATCGCAGGGGGCGGGCACATTTGGGAGCAAAGAGCCTGGAAACTATCGCGAGAGCGTACTCACTACATTTCCCAGAAACCCCCGAGCAGCAGTGGGCGTGGTGGCAGCGGGGGGCCGGGGGAGGGGCTTTGGGGCGGACGTCCGGAATTTGCAGCAGAGACTGACGGAAGTTGTAGTCTGGTGTTTCCCAGAGGCGACAGCGGATTTCCGGGTCGCGGGGCCTGGACGCTGGGCGGCCCCCCGGGGGGATGCGGGAGCCCTCGGCTCGGGGGCGCGGAGAGGCAGGCGGGGTGAGGGGCGTTGCCGGGCAAGGGGCGAACGCCGGGGCCGGGGTATGGTCGGGGACCGGGCTCGGTTACTCCGTGTCCCGGAAGGGGGCCTGGTTGCCAGGTGACAGGAAGAGGGGAGCCTGTTGCTTAGTGACTGGGGAGGGGGCCCTGTTGCCAGGTGACCAGGAGAGAACCGTGTTTAATGGCAGGTCGTTGCTAGACGACCAGACACCCTGTTACCTAGAGACAGGGGAGGAGGCCCTCCAGCGCTATAGCAATCGGAGGACGGAATTTGTTACCTGGGGGGCTCTGTTGCTAGGTAACCAGAGAGGGATCCTGCGGGGGTTCTTCCGTTGCTAGGTGACCGCGAAGGGGCCCTTGTACGTAGCGATGTGGGGCCGCCCTCTGGTTCAGCGAGCCGCGGGGATGGCGGCGCCTGTGGCGGGAAGCCCGCCCAGGGCGTGGGGTCGGCCTGCGCGCTTCCAGGCTGCCCCGGCCCCACCTCGATGGCGACGGCGCTGCCTGCGGGGCCGGTCGGGAGGCTGGATCGGCCCCAGACCCTGGGCCCCTGAGTGCCTTTCCCCCGCTCGCACCCCGCGCAGGAGCCGAGGGGGGCATGTCCCAGGCCCCGGGAGCACAGCCCGGCCCGCCCTCCGTGTACCACGAGCGGCAGCGCCTGGAGCTGTGCGCCGTCCACGCCCTCAACAACGTCCTGCAGCGGCAGCTCTTCAGCCAGGAGGCTGCGGACGAGATCTGCAAGAGGTGACCCACACCCGCCCCGCTCGGCCTGCGCCTGTGTCACAGCGAGCCCCACGGAGCCTGCGGGCTGCCCTCTGCGCTGGGCCCTGCGGCCCAGAGGCGGGCGGTCACCTCCTCCACCCAGCACCCTTGCCTTCTTGGCTCCGCGCCGCTGTGGCTCAGGCCTCACCGCCTAACCTGGGCCCTCGTCACAGCCTCCACCTGCCGGCTCTCCTCCAGCCTGCCTGTGCTCTCGCCTCCAGAGCCCACCCTGCCCTCTCCCTGCTGGCAGCCTCCCATGGCTCCCTCGAACCGCCGGGAGAGGTCCAGGCCCCTGGGCCTGGCAGGGGAGGCCTGTGCACTCTGGCCCCTGCCTGCCTCCACATCTTCATTTCTCACTGCCCCTCTCAAACCCGACTTCTCCCCAGTCCAAGGGAGACCCTCCCAACGCCCTGGGCCTGTGCACAGCCTCTTCCTGCCCAGCCTGGCCTCCTCCTCCTGGCAGCCCGGCTACCCCTCCTGTTCCGGACGTCAGATGTCACTTCTTTCTTATCTCCCTGTCCCTCCCCTGCTCTCTGCCCCTAGTCCTAGCCAGGCTCAGGCCTGACCCTGGTCCTCGTCCTCTTCCCTGCTGTCGGTCCCTCTGATCCTCGCAGGGCCTGTCTACACCCTTGTATCAGCCCCCAGCTCTGCGTCCTCAGGCAGTCACTCCAGACAGTCATCAGGCTTGTTTCAGCTCTGTCATTCCAAACAGGGACCTGTCAGTCTGCTGTTTCCTGCTGGAGCCCCAGAGATGAGTCAGACCTGAGCCCTGAGCCCCTGCCCCAAGGAGGAGGCCAGGGAAACAGATACACAGAAAAGAAGCTGCAGATGAGCCCTCTCCCTGCCCTGCCCTGCCCACCTGGGCCCAGACCAGATGAGAGCGCAGCTTCCCTTGTTCAGAGGCAGGACCCAGGGCCCTGCAGGGGTGCAGAGGTGGAGGACACGGCTGGGGGCAGGAGGCTGGGGAGGGGTGGCACTGAGGCTCGCAGGGCCTCCAGCTGCAGGGGTGGGACTCTGACCTGGGGGTGTCGGGGTGCCAGGGCTGTGGGCAGCCACGTGAGAAATAAGGTTTAAGACAGGCCGGTGTGGCAGTCGTCACGCTGCCTCAGTTCACCAGGCCAGGGCACGCTTCTCAGAGGAAGTGACATCTGGGGTTGGTGGTGACCAGAAAGGCTGAGGGGGAGGACTTTGTCCAGGGGCACTGGGGAGCCATGGGAAGGCTGTGATGAGGGGAGAGGCAGGGGTTGCTCCAGGCCCCTGTGGGAGACAGGCGGAGGGGAAATGAGGCGGTGAGGGTCCAGGTAAAAGGCGATCCCTGAGCCAGGCCTTGGGGACAGGGCGAGGTCAGGAGGGCCAGCACGGGCTGCCGAGTCTGATGATGGGGTGCAGAGGGAAGAGTCGAGCTGGGGGCTGTCCTACTCGTGGGAAGGGTCAGGCCTCTCCAGGGGTCCCACTCAGGCTGTGACCACCCCACTTTCCAGGCTGGCCCCAGACTCCCGGCTGAACCCCCATCGCAGCCTCCTGGGCACCGGCAACTATGATGTCAACGTGATCATGGCCGCCCTGCAGGGGCTGGGCCTGGCGGCCGTGTGGTGGGACAGGAGGAGGTAGGGCCCAGAGCGCCCGCCCTGTGGTATGCAGGCTGGGCCCTGCCGGCGCCATGGCTTGGGGCAGGAGGAGCAGGCCGGGTGGGCAGGGGCAGGGAGTGCGGAGCAGATGGTTCCCATGGAGGGAGGGCTGGACTAGGATGGCGTGCCGGCTGGGGGCACCGGTCAGCAGGCAGGTGACGGTAGCTGGGTGAGGAAGAGGTGGGTGGGCGGTTGGGCGTGTTGGGTAATGACAGTATAGACGGATGGGTGTTGGGGGTAGGGAGAGGGAGAGCCCACAGCCCTGGGTAGATCGCGGACAGGCTGGGCCGTTGGGTGGGTGCACGGAGGTTTGGGAGGGTGCGGTTGGTGGACGACGGGCAGATGGGTGGGGGGTG